TGTTCAATCCAAGTTGGTGGTAAAAGGCAACACTTTCAAAAAAGACTTATATTAGCTAATATAAAAGAACTTTATTTAGAGTTCATTAAAATTTTCTTTGACATCAAGATTGGGTTTTCTAAGTTTGTGAACTTAGACCAAAAAGGTGTATTCCTATTGGAGGGTTTCAGGTCTACATTTATTATGTGTTTGCGTGTACCATCAGAAGGAAAAATTTTAGGAATTAAAAATACCAGATATTTTAGACTATAAAGATCTCTTGATCAAGACTGCATGCTGCATAATTGCAATAACTGCCCAGATACCAATGCACCAAAAGAGTACTTACTGCTTTGTTTGAACACAGCATGGAAGAAATCACTTATAACCCAGGTCAACAACAAAAAATTTTTCTGGTGTCAAGCAAACAATTTGTTTTTCATACAGCATTTCTCATTTTGATTTCAAATATGCAACATCAACATCAAGTTGTAAAGATATTTGGCTTCAAATCTTTATCATTTGGGGTAAAATCCCTGTCAAAGAATATATTATTCAAAAGTATGTCAACCTGGGCCTTAAAAGAAGGGTATTTTCACAGAGATTTTAGAAAACATAAGTTGCATCTTTGAAGTCAAAATGACAAATGCTATACAAAAAACAAATTGTTTGCTCGGTAGATAGTATGAACTATTAGCTTAAGAAAAAACTGAAATATTACATTTGTACAATAGCATAAATAACATAATTAAATAACAACATAATTATAAGTTTGATTTTTTTTAAACTTTTATAGTTATTTAGCAAAAATTGATTTTAAAGACTACATAATATTTTTTTATATATATAATAATATTTTTTTATAACATAATTAACTTGTGCATTGTGTTGACAAGTCATATAACTCCTATAATTTAGTATAAGTTGTAATCTAAATTTAAACATAGTAATCAAACAAGTTAAATAAATGGAGAGGGGTGGAACAATAAATGTTACAAAATTTATGGTCATGCTACAAAATTTATTTAAAAAATATATTTATAAATATAAATATATTTTTTAAATTTATAAAATTTATGGTCATGACTTTTATGTATATTAAATAATATTATGTATATTAAATATTTTTATAAGAAAGTCATTTTAATAAATTTTTCTTTATAAGCTACTTACAAATTATATATGCAGTCTAAATAATGTCACAGGTTTTATGTGTATGTTTATGCATTAAGGCGCTTCATACACTAGAATAAAACATGCAGTATAAAGTGTTTAATTTCTAAGTTTTAAGTTTAATTTTTTTGTAAGCTCTGGGCATAAATGTGTATGTTAAAAAGTAAATAGACTAGGGATAGGGTGTAGGTGGTAGGGAAATTTAGGGATGTCGAAGTTTTACTAAATTAGGTCAAGTAGTTTACAATAAAAAAAAACTAAAATATTTTTTGAAATTAAAATAAGATATTTATAAGATGTTTATAAGATATTTTATATTTAAAAGCTTTAAAGAATGAATAAAACATGTTTTTGCTATTAAAGATTTAATTTTTAGAAAAATCAGAAATTTTAAATGACCTTATCTTATAAACTACAAAATATTTTACGCCAAAATTTTAAGAAATTGATTTGGCATTGAATGACCTATTTAACGCACTTCAAAAAATTTATATATCAATTTATCTATTTTATAATAAATTATCAAAACGTTTTTTGTTGTTATTGCTAAAAACAAAACAAAAAGGTTAAAAACTTAAGAATTATAAAAAAAAAAATTTTTTAATCTAATTAATAAAATAAAAATTAACTGATATATTATTAATAGAAAAAGAAAGACATGGGAGAACAGAGGAAGAGAAAGGTTTGCTATGAAAATTTTATTTACAATAAAATTTACATAATAAAAGTTTTTCTGTTTGAAATTTAATGCCAGCACACACTAAAGTGCTGACAGGAAGGTCATTAATTGGCTAAGGTACATGACTGATATGATTTCTAAAAATTCTTTATGAAAAAGTTAATATCAAACAGCGAAATGAACGTTTTACTCAAGTTCTAAATAATTTAAATTTAAAAAAGTTTTCATGATTTTTTTATTTAAGGATTTGCTGAACAAAAAAGATTTGCTGCTTTTAAAAAAAAAAAATTACTGTATTTTTTTTAAACACTCACACACTGGCTGAATGGTGAAGACTCAAATAAATTTACACAATAGTATTGTACAACCCAAAACATAAAGTATGATATTTATCATTGTAAACATCAAAACTTTAATAGTAATTAAACCGTAATATAACCTAAATTATAAAAACATTGGTTTGGTCTGTAATTTTTAGGTTTAACAGAATGGATGTGTTGAATTAAAAAATCATAAATAGGTTTCTTATTAATAATGAAAACATAAAAAGTAAAATTTACCTGAATTCTTTCTGCATTATAACCAATATTAACTCCATTTTCGGTCTCAAAAGGCAAGTGCAACAAATACAAATCCAAGTATTCTAATTGAAGATCACTTAATGTTTTTTTGCAAGCACCTTCAATGTTTTTAAATTCTGAGACCCAAGCTTTTGAAGTAATGAAAATATCTTTTCGATTGTATTCACCAGATGAAAATAATGGACCAAACACATTTCCTATTTCTGGCTCATTTTCATAAATAGCTGCACAATCAATATGTTTGTAACCACATTTTAATGCAAGCCTAACTGATTCTCCAACTACTCCAGGCTCTGCCAGCCACGTACTAACATAAAAATGGTAGAAATAAAGTCAATTAAAAAGAAAACAGATAAAACAGAATTATGTGTAATATTATATAAATAAAACAAAACAGAATTATGTGGATAGAAAAAAATAAAAAGTAAAATGACAAAACTATACTTTAAAAAAATATAGATGCATATATATATATATATATATATATATATATATATATATATATATATATATATATATATATATATATATATATATATATATATATATATATATATCAGCCCTCACAATTAGGGTCGGCATTCGGCAATGCCTACCTAAAAATGTTTGAGGTCAGCAAAAAATTGCTGACCTCGTTTCTATGTTTTATAGTAACCCCTTTGTGCGACTTTTTTTTTTGCCAAACTTATGCCAACCTCTAACAGTTTGAGGTTGGCATAATGTATGTGTGTATGTCTATATATATGAGGACCACAGGGGAAAAAGGGTGCACAACACATTTTCCAATTATTTGAGTTATATCTACTATATAAACATAAGCCTGAAGATTAGCAAAATGGTAAAATCCAAACCAAAAAAGGCCTATGTAATGCTACAAAAACACTCAATATATAGACATACAGATAGATAGAGACATACAGATTTTATTTATTTCGAAAGTTGAAATGTGTAACATGTGCCTTTTTTTCCCTGTAGTCTTCATATATATATATATATATATATATATATATATATATATATATATATATATATATATATATATATATATATATATATATATATATATATATATATATATATATATATATTTATATACATACAGGCCTTGTTTTAAAGCGTTACGCCTAGAGCGATTTACGTACGCCTTAAGCGATTTTTCATACGCGTAGAGCTGTTTTGGTTAAGCTACTTTTTAACTTTTAAATTAGCGGTAACATAAAAGAAGTAATTAATTCTTAAAAAAACCACATTAACTTTTAAATAACAATATGTATAGATATTTATTAAAAAAAAGAATTTACTTTAAAAATAATTGTTGTAACTTTTCATCGCGATATATCTTTCCTTTTTATAGCAATTAATTTGACGCTAAACTTTTTATCCAAATATTTAGCAACATGAAAAACTGTTTGTCAATCCTTAACTACAAATTTTTTGCAATGTTTTTAATAAAAAGTAGTAATTTTTTTTAAGTTTTCAGTAAAAAACTTTTACAAAATCTATATTCCATATTTATTAATACAGAATATAAATGTTTTTTGTAATATAGATTTTTGAGGAACTTTTTACTGAATTTATAATAAAAAACATTTGCAAAAAATTTTGTAATTAAGAATTGACATTTTTTTTAATATCTCAAAAAATGTCCTAATATTTTTGTTACCATGATAACAAAAATATCAATACATTTTTTCGAGATATTAAAAAAAATGTCTTTGCTTTTCTTATTAGTTAAAGGTATATAGATACCTTTACCTTTAAGTTATGCAGGGGGAGGGGGTCAGTACAGAAAAAAAAATTACCAGTTACTCGCAATATTTGAATGAAGACAATTTGTTAAATTTCTTCTGTGTGCAATTCAATAAGTTTTTTTTTTTCATAAATCAAGTTATATTATAAGGTAAAGAAATCATGAGTAGGCTACAACATCCGCTGATGACACTAATATTACGTTGAATATATTTATATAACGAAGGTTTCATTATGCACACGCACATTACAGGTTCCGTTAAATAAATACTAAGGCACGTTTTAGTTTAATGACAGTCTCCATTTTTTACTAATGAATATGTTTTTTAGGTAGCGGTATTCCTTTAGCCTGTTAAACCTTTAGAATTTAACTGAACTTCTACTGACTGGAACTTTAAAAGAAGATTTATTCTTGACATCATCAAAGAAAAGTGAAAAAAAAAAAAATGCAATATTGAATAGCCTTCTTGATAGCTTGAATAACAATTAAAAATAAATAAAAAAAAGGAAATTAAAATATTTTGAAGCAATCTGTTTTTCTGATTACTTAAAACACTTTATTTAGAAAGAGACTTCAGATAAAACTTTATTTTCGAAGCAGTCTGTCGTTTAAACTTATTTAAAACGTTTTTTTAAAAAAAAGACTTCAGATAAAACTTTTTTTTTCTAAAACGCAACAATTAGAAATCAAATTTATCCAATCAAAATTTGAATAGCATAAATTTGAAAAAAAAGTTGCATAACTTTATACGCAAAAAAACTTTTGCAAAGACTTTTATTTTTTATATCTTTAAATTTTTAAAATAGAAGTAGAAGGTAGCCATAAAAAATTAGCAAAAACTGAATTGTTATTTGAACTTTTCTCAAAAAATTAAGAATAACTGGTTAAACAAGAAATTTAGAATTTTGCCCCTCCCCTTCCTAATATATATATACAGGCCTTAGCGGGAAGCGAGAGCTTTAGCTCACGCCCACACTCTCCTAAAACAGTTTACGAGAGCAATTTACGGCTTCATAATTTGTAAAAAATTTTAAAATTGTAAAAAAAAGTATAATTTTTTCTCTCAAAAATTTAATTATCATTGTAACTGAAATAAAAAACGCAGTTTTTTTTAATATTTATTTTCAATAAATCTGATAATGCCAGCATTCTATTACAATAAGAAAAACTTTTTATAAGCAGTAAAAACAAAGCTCATCTAAAGAATTTAGAGGAGAGCATAGCTCACCATGTTCATTTTAGAAGAGCTTTTTCATTTAATTTAGTTTTTACGAAGGTTTATGCAAAGGCAATGACTTTATTCCCCAATACTTAGACAAGAAAATAAATTGCTGTTTTAATTATTAAATATATTAGTTGAGATTTTAAACATAACAAAATTTTAATGTGAAAAAAGTTCTCTTTCGACTTATTCTAAACTGATTATACCGAGTCAATGCTCGCCTTTTATTACGTTGAAATTATTCAATTGCATAATTTTGTAATTACGAAAGAAGTTAAAAAAATAATTGCATTTCTTCTGTTGTTATTGTTACGAAAACAGTTCTTTCGGGACATTATATATTAACACTCGTTCGAAAACAGTTCTTTCGAGACATTATATATTAACACTCGTTCACAATGTCAATTAATGATTGTAAAATAAGCAACTCAATCGTTTGACAATAAAATTTTCTTTTATTTGAAAATTAAAAAAAAACATATTTTACTAATAAATAGCTTTTTCGTGCATATATTAACGCTCGTTCACAATGTCAATTAATGATTGTAAAATAAGCAACTCAATCGTTTGACAATAAAATTTTCTTTCATTTGAAAATTAAAAAAAAAACATATTTTACTAATAAATAGCTTTTTCGTGCATATTTTATAAACATATTTTACTAATAAATAGCGTTTTCGTGCTTTAATGCGTACCAATACATTTAAACATTTAAATGTATTTACAAAACATTTAAAAATTGTTTATAGTTCTATAGGAATTTTAAAGTATTACTGACTGGTTAAATTCATAAACAAATTTTACATTAAAAGGTCCTTTTATTTTCTTTAAACAATAATCTTTTTCATTTTGATTTGATTTTTCATAGCTAAAATAACTACCACCCTAAAAAACTAAGCTAAAATAACTACCACCCTAAAAAAAAAAAATATAGGTAAATTTTTTTTTAATAATATACATCGATTTTCTAATTTTAAAGTACAAACAGATTTCTGTTATTTACTTTAAGATTGCTTGCATTTTTGCGGTATTTTCGTTTAGCTTTGTTTTTGGGCAAATTCTCGAAACACATAATAATAAAACGTGGTCAGTTAGTCAGAAAAATTTATTCTATGCATGGACAAACAAGGCGTGCGACCGCACGCCTTTCCTGGGAAAGCCTAATATATATATATATATATATATATATATATATATATATATATATATATATATATATATATATATATATATATATATATATATATATATGTATATATATATATATATATATATATATACATATATATATGTATATATATATATATATATATATATATATATATATATATATATATATATATATATATATATATATATAAATATAAATATATATAAATATATTAATGCGGTAGTGGTGAATTGGTGAATTATTGAGTTCTCACTTCATAAACAAGCAGTATTTTTGTTTAACTTTGTTTTGGTGCGAATTCTTGAAACGAATAATAATAAAACGTGGTCAGTTAGTCAGAAAAATTTAGTCTATGCGTGCGACCGCACGCCTTTCCAGAAAAGCCTGATATATATATATATAAATATATATAAATATATTAATGCGGTAGTGGTGAATTGGTGAATTATTGAGTGCTCGCTTGATAAACAAGCGTTCAACTTGTTTCTCCGCACAGCAACATTGTTTGTCAAGGTTTGTGTTTTGGAGTTATAGTTGATTGAGGGTTATAACCGCAAGTAGTCTCCTATCTATAGTAGCCTTCTTGGCCTTGGGGAGGTAAATTACAATATATACATATATATATATATATATATACATATATATATATATATATATATATATATATATATATATATATATATATATATATATATATATATATATATATATATATATATATATATATATATATATATATATATATATATATATATATATATATATATATATAGGTGGAATTAACAAAATTACTTAATTATTAGTTTAATTAAATTCTAAGTAATTGCCTTAGAGTAAATTGTGAGTCCATTGAATCATAAATTAAAAAATTGGTAAATTGTGAGTACATTGAATTGTAAATCAAAAAACCGTAAATAATCAGAAAAACTCCCTTAAATATCTTGGACTTTATTTAGCAGTTTCTAAAAATACTAAGACTTTAATTAGCACTCTAATAATACTAAACAATTAGTTTGTCTTTCTTTAATCCATCTTTTTTAAACTAGTATATAATTTTACTTATTTACTTTTAAAAAATAAATATTGCAAAAAAAAAAAAGGTTATAAAATATTATTAGAAAAATTACCCAAATCCAAATGCTGGCATTTCAACACCATTGTTAAGTTTTATAACAGGTTGAGTCTAAAAATTTATAAATTAAAATAAAGCAAAGAGAACATTAGGTGAAGAGTGAATATGTTTCTTTTCACAAGAAACGCACATCATTAAGAAATATTAATTTTATTATTAAGGGTAACTAGTGCATAATGTCTATTAACTTTTGTGGTTAAGAGATATTTTGTATTTAAGGCTAGTTGAGTACTTAAATTTTAATTTCCAAGCTGCTTTTTCTGTTGTTGATTTATGGTACTGTCATCATAATTATCAAATGTATGCTTTGTTTTCTTGTTAAGTAAACTAAGAAAACAACCATATGATACAATATGAAAAAAATAAACAAATTAAAACCTTAAAAAAATTATTGCAGAAAGATTTTTATTTTAATGTGAAAACTTTTTAATCAAATCAAAAGAAAAATATTTTAAAAAGATTAAAATGAAAAACAAGAATTTGAGAATTTTCACATTTAATAAATGCTAATTGTATTACTAATAAATAAATACATTAAACTTTGCCAAATGCATTAAATATTGCTAATAGATAATGCACTTTTTTTCTTAATAATTATATATTTTCATTTAAAAAGTAAATTATATTCTAAGATTCTCTAAAAACCCTTGTTGTTTTTTTTGTATTATCATATACATTTATCCATATATATCATACACTACCCATATATGACTTATTAGGGGAAGTTGGGGCACAGTGGATCGGATTAATTTTTTAAATTGAGCAAAAATTAAAATATGCATTTTATTTTTTTTGAGGCAAAATGATTGAGATATATGCCCTTCATGATAAGAAATCGTTAAAACCAAAATATTAATTATCTAACGGCTCAAGGAAAGGTTTCAAGTGAATTTTGTTACATGATTCACTGTGTGTCAGTACTGGGGCAGTGAATAAATGAACACAGCCCTGAATAAATGATCATGAATAGGAGCATAGCCAAATAACTTTGAGGCTGAGGCAGTAAGGACACTGTACTTTTGGCAAACTTTTATTAATTAGATTAGTATAAAATCAAATAATAGACATTTTGAAAATTGAGAAGAACAAAAAAAAGAATATGATTGATAACTAAACTTATAAAAATATTAAAAAATTAAAAACTTATTCAAATATTATTATTTAACTTGAAATTAATCAATTCATTGTCATGTAATTTGTTTGTTAAAAAGGCATGAATTTAATCTTTACAATCATTAATGGGCCATAGTGAATCAACCGATTCACTGTACTCCAATTCGCTGAGCCCCACCATAACAAATTAAGTTTAAGTCTCATTTCTTGGGACATAAGTGCTGTTAAAGGAGAAGCTAAACTACTAGAAAGAACCATAAATATCAATAATCCTAATGAAAAACCTCTTTAATGAAAATTAATGAAAAAACTTCTAAAACTTAATGAAAAAACTTTTAAAATTATTTCAACCATGATATCCATAACAAACATAAGGAAAGTAAGAAAAATTACTTAGCTAAAAACAGATATTACCTACCAAAAACCAGTAGACAAAAATTGTGGTAACAACTATGATTAAAGATTGCTGATATAAGAGCACATAAAATGATTACATTATCAAGATGAACAAAATTCTAATTTTGGAGAAAAATCCCTCTTATTCACTGTGACCCAACCTCCCCTACTATTTAAAATACTTTTAAAATTTCTAGATGATAAAAAATCAACTACAAATAAAAATAGGTGAGTTTCTTACAAAGAAAAAATATGTTCTCAAAGGTGGTAAATACTGTGACACCTTTCGAATGGAAAATAATGATCTTGTGTGTATATGTTTTACAACTTGCCATGTAGAAACAGCTGTTTTTAGATCAAAGAGCAACATTACTTGAAAGCTTAATTCTAAAATGTTATAATTAATATGAGTCCTGTTTTGTGTTTTAAGATGAATTACATACAGTATTACTAGATTTTAAATTTCTTACACAATATTAGTAATTCTTTTTAGATAAAAATTAAAATTTATCTTGTATGACAGCTTTCTTCATATTGTTTTTTAAATTATGATTTAAATAAAACTATTCAATTATTTTTGTTAATTTGATTGTTTAAAATAGTTTATTTAGGATTAAAACATAAAAGATGCAAATAAATGTTGAACTGTGTTGAGCACAAAAAGCTAACATGAAAGTATTATTTTTGTTTAAAGGTGGTCAAGAGATGTAAATCTTACCTACTGTAAACTTATTTTAAATGGAAAAATAAAATGCTTTTTAAAATAATAAATTAAAGTAATAATATTAATAAAATAATAAACTTTCTAATAAACAAAATGTTTAAGAGAAAAAAAGACTCATTTAGCTTGATCTTTATATTATAATGATAAACTTTAAAGGTAATTTGAGCTTTTATTTTTATCAACTAGTATTTAGGAATAGGCACAATGAAGTGTACATGCATTAAATTATGGTTTTTGGTTAAGAAACAGATGATTCAGAAAATTTACGAGTTAAATAAATTTTAAATTCATGACTAAAAAAAAACAATCTATTATTTAGTAAAAGGAATATCATAATACTATTAAACATTAGAACTTTTTTATTTTTGATTTAATATTAGAGTACTTTCTTTTTATTAAGAATTCAATGTTTTATTTCTAATCATAAAAATAAAATAGAAACTGTAGCTTTTTTTAAAATTTTTATTTGCTTACTGGAGAGACTTTTTTAGAAAGAGATTTTGTGCGCATTATGCTAAGCATTACAAACATATTTTTTGTTACCAACATAAAAATTAACAATGTGAATAAATAACTTTGTTAGAATAGAGAACTCAAAGAACTTTTAAAAAAAACAGTTTTAGTAAATTCAAGGTCAATGGTAAAAAAAAAATCATTCAAAAGACATACATAGTATAATTAATATATTATTTTACATCGTGTGCACTTTTTCAGAATATTTTGGTTTTACGAGTGTGTAATAAAATATAGTATAAATTTCTTGATAAATGGCTTTTACAGAATGTAAAACCTTTTTTTACCAAAAAAACTTTCGCAGTTTAAAATAAACTTGTGAAACCTGATTTTTAAGTCATTTCGTACCTTAAAAACTTGTAAAAAGCCCCTCATTAAATTTTGTACCTTGTCCTTAAGAGATTGAACAAATACTTTACAGTTTTTATTTATATCTATATAAAATTTATATTTTATATCTTTAAGATATAAAATATAAATAAATGAAGTAATACTTCATTTATTTATATTATATAGCTTACCATATTTTTAAGGTTTTTAGAGTTCCGGAACAACTGCAGAGACTAGACGAGAGTGCCAGGAAATGAGAGTAAAGAATTAAAACACCTTAATACACGTGACGGACACACACGTGACACACGTTTGTAAATATGAATCGTGAGCGTAATCATGAGCGAATCTTACGACTTTTAAGGTTCTGCAAAATATACACATTTTCCAGACAGACACAAATATAACAAAAATATATTTGTGCGATTGGTCAGTTTTTTTTAAAACTGCTGTAATTGGTCATTTTCAATATAGTAAACAAGCTTAAAAAAAGTCAGTCCAAAGCGTTTCAAGACAGTAAAAATTATTTTTATCCATTGTTTTCTATCCAGGATATATCAACAATCTTACAGCAAAATAAACTAAATTTATATGTTCACCTGTAGAATATTACGGTAGAACCTACAAGGAGTGCTGCTACATTGACTGACAAATTGGTAGAACATGCAAGAAAAAAGCGAACATATAAGTTTAGTTTGGTTTGGGCAGACAGTCTGTATAAATATTATTCAGTCAATATAAATATTTTTATCAGATTAGGTTATTCTGCTACTGGTAACATGTAACCCAGTACAACCCGCTATATGTCCTGCTACCTTGTAGGGTATAATTTTTTAGGCAAAAGCTAGAAGAAGTCAATTCTGACTTAAAACTTCCTCTGTCTCTAACTTAACTTTCCCCTTCCTAGGCAAAAACTGAAGGGGTAAACAAATTTTATCTGTTGACTAACTTTGTACCCTTTCTTCATCTGTTAAGCTAGCGTACATGTACTTTTTATAAATTAATTCCAGTTCAGAATTTTGAATATTGAATTTTCTTGACTCAATGCATGAGTTTACCTTGTGTGTCTGTTTTTATGACCAGGCAACTCATTCAATTATCTCCTAATGAGGGTACATCTCTAAAACTCAGTTTTATTGTTCTGAGGCCGGCTGGTAGTCGGGTTTCAAGAACTCTGTAGCAGCTCTCAGAGAGGCTGATTTCATCCACAGCTATAAAATATCAGAGTACGGTGCCATGCTGCGCATAGATGTTGTCTCTGTTCGTATTTATGGTACCCAATGTCGAGTCCACAATGTAGTCTTTTGTTGCGGGTTAAAGTTAGTTAATAGTAATGAGGCAATTGCTTGGAGTTAATAGTCTACTGAGTACAAGTTTTTTGAAGAATCCAAAAATTACCAAAAATTATAAAACAAAAAAAACCTTCATCATCACCAAGTTCTCTAAATCTATCGTTCACAAACATTAATGATCTTTGAAATAACTTTTCTTCTTTTTCTTTAAGCCTTATATTTTGCAAAGTTCACCAGACCTATTTAATCTTTGTGAGACTAATTTAAATTCAGCTGTCACATCTTGTGATCTTAGTGCAGATGGTTATCTTCCTTTAATTTGTAAAGACTCCAATAGTCACATGATTGGCTTGGGCATTTACATTCATAAAGATTTATTTCCATTGCTTGACATTTTTACCGCTTTAAGGCTATCATTCTTGATATTTTTAAACCTTTTGATAAAGTATGGCATGCTGGTCTTGTCCATAAAATTTCTTATTACGGTGTATCAGGTAACATCTTAAAGATTATGGGGGCTCTAAATGACTGGTGCACTTTAAGTGAGATGAAACTCAATTTTTTCAGCTAATCTTGTTCGCAATAATTTAGATCTTGAATCTATATTTTTAAAAGGTAAAATATTCGATGAGTCATCTACTCTTCGTCTTTTATGATTAACTCGTACTTCAAATCTAGGATCTGCTTAAGTCTTTACCATGCTTGCAACTTTCTTACTCTAGGTTCTTTATCTTATATCCGTCCTTGAATAGAATATTGTTGCCGTATCTGGGGCGGATCTTGGAATGATCCCTTTCTTTTTTAGACAAGAAATGCTCATTGTAAACAGTATTGGATCTGCTCTTGCAGCCAATCTTCAACCACCGTCACTTCGTTGTAATCTTGCTTCTCTTTCTCTTTTCTATTAATATTATAATGGGCTCTGCTCTAAAGAGTTAGCGTTCTTTTGCCATCAACTAAAATTCATTGTCGTGTTACTCGTCATTCAATTAAGTCTTATCCTTTACTGCGATTGTTCCTACGAGTTCTAAAAATTTTTATTCGTCAATTTTTTTTCATCGAACATTAGTTCTTTCTTATTCACTCCGTTTATCTTGTTTTCCCGATTCACATAATTTGCTATCTTTCAAGTTGCCTGTTAATTGTTATTTTGCTTTATAGTCTTTACCTTTTCTCTTCCAGTAACTTCCAAATCTAATAGTGGTTGCTAATAGCCTTGTTGGAAGTAACGATATAATGAAGAAAAAAAAAATTGAAAAAATTGAACTGTAATCATTTTCTTAATTTTCGACATGGGGGTGGTACACCCCCATTAATTTTTGAAATTTTTTAAAAAAATTAATTTTTAAAATATTGATATTTTTAATTAATAGACATATTTATAACTTTTTTTTTTAATAAAATAAATAAATAAGAATGTGAAAATGTGTGTACTTTGGCCATTATAGGGTTTTGAGGTCCATAACAACGTCATAGCAACGTATTTTTAAACAAGAAAATATCAACTTATCGAAGCTTCTAAACAACAATATTTTATTTATACTTCAGCTTCTTCTTTATTATGTGCTTTATGTTTAGTAAATGTTATAAATGGGTTTATGCTTTTTTTTGTAATGATAACATCATTTTTAGCAAATATGTAATTTTTTAAAACATGATATTTTCAGATTGCGACCTTATAATTAACTTAAAATATTTAGGGTGTTTTTGTATTGTTTGTCTTAGGTAATGAACTAGATTTACAAATAAATATGGTGTCAAAGTATATTTAATACCTTTTTTTTATTATTATTATTCTTACCTATTATATATTCTTACCTTTTTTTATAAATCTATCAAAAATTAATTTTAAATGTTTTATGCGTCTTTAATCCATGATTATAGTTCATAACCTCTTCGCATTTTTCAGGAACATAATGTAAAAATTTTAGAAATAAATGATTAATAGAAATGGAGATATCTTATTTTAAATTATACTCACTTTGCGCAATTTTTATGGAATAAGTGAGGCAAAAGTTGGAAAATCAAGATTTCATATTTAGAAAAATATTAGCATACTTGTTTCAACTTGTGTGATGATATTTTTAATTTTATTTTGATTATTTTAAAGAAAATTTTTTGAATGGGGGTCTACCACCTTAATCAGTTTATAGTTATTTCAAAATTAGTTATTTCAGTTAATTTCAATCTTATTCTGTTTTCGGGATTTCCAATATTATTCTTTTTTTTACAATATCGGTTTTATTTCGATAGTAATCCTGGATAGTCTTTAACTGATATAATTGATTCAAGATCTAATCATGATGAGAATAGAATGGTTGACGGTAACAAGTAGTAAAGTGGAGTTTTCTAGATCCATAAATTAAATCAACAAAAACGATGTAAATATCTGTATCAGTTTGAGTAATACTTACTATGGTAGATTTAACGTCATTTCTGCAGTATATAGCTTGATAAATACTTTATTAAACTCGGTTGAATTTTTTAAATTTTTTTGCAGCTTTTAGGATTGAATTCCTATTATTTCGGTTGTTAAGAACAATAACAAAATAATAAAAGGTGATTTTTTGTCGAATTTTGATTTTAATTTACAATTTGTTTAATTTCGATTGTTGCTTTTATAGGGTTCATCATGTCAAGAATAGATTTTTTATCTTCTCTGGCGCTTGATTAATCTGCTGCTTTGGAGACTAAAGACTACAACGTTACTTTCCACTTTTTCTCTTTTTTTTCCTCGACAGCAACAGTGTACATTAAATGAAGTTGTTCGGTTGACTTTTTAGGTGGCGTAATTCCAGTAATAATAGTATCGATTTTCAAATCAATTAAACTGAATGCATCTACTGATGTGATGTACATTGATTTTCAAAAAGGATTTGACGTTGTTCCTCTACCAAATCTTTTGAAAAAACTGCATTGCATGGTATAATAAATAACCTCCTTTATTGGATATCAGCATTTCTTTCCAACAGATATTATAGAATTCAGATTGGAAATTCATTATCCAATACAACCAGCATCCTTAGTGGAGTTCTACAGGGTAGCGTTTTGGGTCCAACGTTATTCTTGTTGTATTTTAATGATCTACCCTCTATAGTAAAAAATCTTTGCTCACTAATTTTATATGCTGGCGATATATAGCTATATAGTTTCATTATAGTTCATTTAAGGATGCCAATTACAGTCACAATCTTACTGTTGCCATTTATGAAGTTTATCTCTGGTCAGAAAAATGGCATTTAAAAGTAGCTAATAATAAGTGCTTTACTCATAGAAAACACCTACTTCATTCTATATAAATATATAAATTACAACTATCAGTTTACGATGATTGCATCAAATTACGATGATTGTTTTTAAATTACAATTATCAAATTACACAAACTAAAGTGTAAACTCATTGTCCGTAATTACTCATTCAATATCAGGATTGTTTATATTTAGAATAACTTGCCGTCTGAAGTCGTTAACACCGAAAATATCAAGAGCCTCCATATTATAATTAACTTTATCAAATTTGAAAAATACTGTCCGGCTAACTAGTTTCTATTTTTTAATTGTGGTCGATGTGAAATCGACGAGAGGGCTGACTTTATCGCCTTCAATATACCAACATATAATGTTTTTTTAATTATAGCTTAAATTAAAATAGTAGCAATTAAAGATTATTGATAAGCTGCAACAAATGTTAATTCATTTAGATTATATAATGTATTAATTTTAATTAATTTATTTTTTAAACCTTTTTATAGTTTTTTTAAAGTTGTAAAAGTATTTTATTAAGATGTTTATATGATGATTGTATTGCAATCATAAATATGACTACTTAAATATTTCATGATAAAAAATGAACAACTGTAACATACTATTGCACAATGATTTTATTTGATTTTGAGTTTAATTACGTTTTGATGCAAATCAAGTCTTCAAACTGTTACTAACAGTGCTTGGAGTACTTGAGTTACTTTAGACTAAAGTATTTTTTTTAGTACTAAATATTGTTTAGTACTAAAAAAAATTAAGAATCTTAAGTTATTATTGTATTAAACTAAACCTATTTTTAAGGTTATA